GCTGCGGCGGCGGCGGCGGCGGCGAAGCCGGAGGAGCCCGGCCCGGTGCGCGGCGTCCCCCGCTCGCCGCTCCGCTGCGCGCTTTGCATAAGGAGGGCTCGCCTCGCCCGCCGGGGCTGCAGGCGGGGCGCGCGCGGCGGCCGCTCGGGGCTGAAGGCGCGGCGGGCGGCTGTCCGGGCGGCGCGGGCCTTGGCACGGGGGAGTTAACACTTCATGCTTCTCGTCTCTCTTCTTCTGCCTGGCTCTCTTTACTATTTTTTTTCTTTCCTCTCTCTCTCTTTCTCCCTCTTGCGCTCTCGCTCTTCTCTCTGTGCAAAGTGCAGCACAGAGGTGCAGCCGGGCTGGAGGAAAGGGAGGGAGGGGGGAGTTTAGTTCTTTCTTGCCGTTTTTTAAAAAGCAAAATAGCGAAGTCCTGGGTAAAGACGAGGCAGAGAGCAGACGGGGGAGGGGGAGGCCGAGCCGACAAGCAGCCGGAGCTACAGCTCGAAGATGAAAAAAGATTTTAAAGCCTCTGATCCAGCAAGAAGAGTTTAAAGCAATTGCTGAGTTTTATAGCACTCGTGACGTCAAGCCCAAATGGGAAATTGACTGGCACTCCCGGCCAATGGGAGGCGGCGAGAGCGGCTGCGATTAGCATAATAGTATAGAAACAAGGAAACTTTTCGGAGCTGTCAATCAGGGCCCAATCAGCTGACTGTCAGCTGGGACCCGGCTGGCTTAACCCTTCCAGCGCCGCCGTCTCCCCAGGAGGGAGCGAGGCCACCGCAAGAAGTTTGGTCTAAGAGGGAAAGAAATTTTATAGACGGGCTTCGAGAACCCAGGCGGACTCGGGTGGACAGTTTGCTTTCCTTTGGAGCGCGAGAGGCCTGCCTTCCGGAGCCCGGGCTCCCCGGACGGTTTCTCAGCCGGGATTGGCCTGACTCCCCTCCCCGCCTACCCTCCACCCCCAGGACAGTGAATTCGCCGAGCAGATTTTCCTCCTCGCTTCACCCTTGGCACCCAGGTGTCTGCCGGGGGGACTTTACTTCCTTGAGCCTGGCTGTGCCCAGAGCTCAAACTTGGCCCCAACTCTTTCTATCTCTGCAGGGAGCTGGGGCGCAGGGTAGCGGGGGGGAGCGTGCTGGGGCGCGGGGATCGGGAGTGAGAGCTGGACGCCGCCCCGCGGTACGCCTGCCTGGGCGCTTTGGAGCCCTTGCGAAGAGAGAAAACTCCTTCAATCGCCCTCTTTTAAAGGAGGTAAAATAAGTTGTTTAGGGACCATTCTTCTCTGGGACTGGCTGCCCGCTGGCGTCGAGTGCCCTTGCAGGAGGGAGCAAGCGCCAGGGTGAGTTAACTCTGGGAAAGCTCAAAGTCAGGCTCACCCTCCAACTCCCAACTCCCGCCCGAGTTTGGCCTTTGAGATTCATATTCCACGACCGCCACCGCCCCCCTGCAGCCTGCCCCCTCCCCCTTCCGCGCTCTCCTATCGCCTCATGAAATCTCACCCCTGTTTATCAGGGTCAGGAGTGCCCTTTGCACTTTTACATTTCACTTAATTATTTCGGACTTGATCGTGGCTGGGAACAAGGGGAAAAAACAATGCTCCAACCCTCACCAGCTCCTCTCCAAGGGTTAAATTTTAAACCGCGGTTTCTCGGACAGTCCCGGAAACCCAGAGCAGGGGGTGGGGTGGGGGGGGCGGAGAGACCGTTTTTTTCTCCCACCCTCATTGCAAATGCGAATAACAGTTTTATAGATTGATTCTGCCAAAGCTTATGTATAAAATAAAGAAGAAGAAAGGAAAGGAAAAGAAGAGGAAAGACACCAACAATCCCGTTTCTAAGATTTTAAAGTGATAGGCAAATCGGAGAAGCCGAGATTTATTTGCGGGAAAGTGAGAGTGAGTGAAGCCAACCCAGCATTTGGAAGACCAGCCCGCCCACTTGGAAGTGGAGACTGTTGATTCCTCCAATTAATGAAAATGCATTTGGTGTTAATCATATTTATTTTACTTTATGGGAGGGGGAAACGCTAGGAGGGTGCAATTAAAAAAAAAAAATCTGAAAAGCCTGCAAAGGGATGGAAGAGTGAAAACTATTGTTGGACCGAGTTGGTTTTTACCTCAACAGCGCCACCTTTCGGCAAAGGTCAGTTGAAATTGATCCGTGTCCAGTTTTGTTGGTGATGAAGTGAGGGTGGAAACAGGAAAGAGACACAGAAAGTTAGTTTCACCGCAGTGAGAGAAGCTGACTCTGTAGGAAACGGGTCCCCCAAAGTGCCGGCAGATGTGGGAATCATTTGCTCCCTCCTGTCCTCTTTGTTGAGAAGGAGTCCAGGGGACATAGACGCCCTCGGGGTATATATGATTCAGACTGAGAGACCTTTGCAAGTGGATTCCATGTAACGGGGCCCCTAACCCTTTAAAAGTGCCAGGATGGATTTTCAGCGGGGCTTTATAGCAATATCAATAGAATTAAAGTTACTTGCAATTCAGTGATAAATGAGATGTCTCTAGTAAGATTAAGTGCAGTGCTATAAAGTTGTTTATCTGAAAAGTAATTCTCAGAAAACCTGACTTCTGACACTTAGTCATATATTAAGCCAGCTTCTTGAACATTGCACTTCAGAACGGTCTTATCCACCCCTCAGCAAACTTGACAATTTAGAACCAGACCTTAGGCGTCTCTCATTAGCTGCATACACCAGCTTAAACCTGTGTTAATTTCCCTATTCTGGCAGCCTTTGGCAGCAGGAAACCCAGGAATCCTTCACAGGAGACTTCCTCAAAAGATTAGTAGATACATCAAATCCTAAAAGACTAGCGCTGTTGGTACTTTTCAGATATCATTACCGCAGAGAAGTTGTTTATAAGGGTAGTTTTGGTTTTATAGGGGCACTTTGTTGAGGTGGAATAAACTATGTCTATTACCAGTTTGGGGAAGAAAGAGTGAAGATTATGTCAATATTTATGCAACCTAGCAGAATTCTCTTTCTTTCGTCCCCTTTAAGAATATCTTACCTAGCAATGAAGTTGAGGGATAGTTTATGTATTCAGAGGAAAATCCACCACTTAATTTACATAAACATACCATCTAGCACTGGCTACAGCAATGATTTTCTAGGTCTTCTTAAAAAATCAGTAGCCACAGAAGTCTGAAGTTTATATTTTCCTTGTAAAATATGAATATAAGTGTATTTACAGAAAATTCTTTTTCATGGCTTTTTTAAATCCTTTTGCATCACATTTTTGTTAAAAGCTGTAAGGTATGATCAATGCCTCTCAAAAAAAGTACTTTTGGCAGGAACACAGAAACTGTTACATTTATAAATAAGTAATATTTTATAAAAAAAATTCACTAATGACAAAGACCATGCCGTATAGATTCATGGCTGCGTACTTAATTGCTGCATTGCTATTTATCATTTCTAGAAATTAAATGCCCATGTTTGGGAAGCTACCTGTATTATTATGTGCATGCTTTTATGGTTTATTTGTGTACCGTGCTGTCAAGCCATGGTATTTTTCTTTCTTTTCTTACAGAGGCTTTTCCAGTGTCCCCTTTTCTCTTGGAAAAAAAAAAAAAAAAAGAGGATCAGAATTATTTTGTTTAGATGTGTAACAGCAGGGCTCACAGACTTCTAACTTAATTCTCGTTTTTGTCTTCTTTACTTTATTATTTAGTGATTCACAGGGGTGTCTAAACATTTACAGTTCTCTGTTAACAGCGCTTCTCTTATAACAATGAGCTCTCTCATTTTAATTAGTACTATTCAGGTTTTTGATGCTCTACAATTACAGCGGGCCACATTTCTTTAGACTCCTTTGCTAACATTGTTTGTTTCACTTCTCTCCAAGCCAATCTAATCCAAAATACAATGTGAGCTGTGTTTTCTCACTGCTTAAACCCCCCTTGCCATATCTACCCTGGTAATCTCTGTCGAACAATATACAGTAATTTAGAAGCTACATGTTTG